AGGGAAGGCTGCTCCACAGAGCAATTTATAATGGGGATTTTATGCAATAGAAATTATTGCGAAAAGCTGACAAATTGGAAAAAAAATAAAATAGGTAATTATGTGTTTGTATAACAATAATCAATGGTAAGTTTGTTCGTTCAGTCGATAGACAAAACAAGTTAGTTTTAGATTGGTAAAACGTAAAGAATGTAATCTATCAAACATCAAATTTCTTTGCAGTTTTATAGCATATTGCTTCTAGTGTAACAATACAAAAATGCGATTCAGCTTAAAACAGTCATATGACTACCAACGCTGAACAATTTCTCAGAAATGAAAAACACCACTCGTTGGACGGTTACATGCAAGCGAATATTTTTTTCCCATTCTCCGACCTATGGTAAAATGCAGCCTTTTTTCTTTCTTTTCGCAATGGTGATGTATATTTAAACGCTTGTTCGCTCGCTACAATCGATCACCATAGCAATCTAAGTCAACCATTTTTTGAAGAAATTTTTGCTCTTTCCGTTTGCTTTTTCCAAACTACAATCACTCTAAAAGAAAAAGGCTAATACTCCAACAAAACTAAAACTAATGCGCCAAAATTTATTAATTATTTCCTCCTAGTTTTGTTTAGAATCGTCTTAAAATTAACGTTCTCTTTGTAAATCTTATACATTTTTTCCATTTCTGAGAAAGTAAAAAAGCTAAACAGGCAAATGGTAAACTTATGATATCGATTAACAAATTGTCTGTTAGCTTTATGTATATCAAATATCGAATTCAACTCAAACTGAAACTCTAACTAAAACGTCTGAACAAAATCTGTAGATTATTCCATTAAACTGCAGCGAATTGTGTTTGTTCTACCTCATGTTGCAAGATATCGACATAATCAACTAAAAAACAGTTACTGCATTATTAACACAAGTAACGTCGGTGAATTCCCATAGGTTCCAATATTCATAGGTTCCAAAATAAAAAATCAGTCGCATAAGTTCCAAAATTTATCTTCTTGAATTCTGATTGGTTGAAATTTGAGCCAACGAATTTGTGGATTGATTGTTTACTGTTCAACCAGCATAAACTCAAGCTGCAGAATAGTGACCGCCGCAGCCGCGCCAACGTGTTGCGAGCTTGCCACCAAAGGGTAGGACTCTATACGAAATTTAGAGCCGGTTATCGCCGCGAAGCGGCGACGCGCGCGTAGCGCGCCCACCGGCAACCTTAAACCGAGACTCGGCTAATTTAGTCTTTTGACCAATTGAAAAGATTTGGAACTAATGCGACTGCTTTTTTATTTTGGAACCTATGGGACTGATGGAGTGCAGCCAGTATTTAGACAGCCGCGTATTCATACTGGTCAGTATTTAGACAAATACTGTATGAACCAATCAGAATCGAGAAAAGACCTAAATAATCCAAAATAAATAATAATTATTTATAAATTTCTTCTGTGTCTCGATTCTGATTGGTTGAAACAGTATTTGTCTAAATACTGACCAGTATGAATACGCGGCTGTCGAAATACTGACATGTAACCGGGACTGATTTTTCATTTTGGAACCTATGGATACGCACCAGTAACGTCACATTACCAAAATAGCTAGCATTCCACATTAAGCCAACCAACGAGACGAGAGTAAGCATTTTAATTACCAACGACGAGTTCGGATTTGCAAAATTTTTTTTTAAAAATGTTGACAAAAAAATCGCGGTTTTTTTGGCGCGCGCTCCCCCTCAAAGTTAGTATATATTGGCGCCATAGGCGCCTTTAGAAAAATTTTAGGGTCGGTCGGCAAAAAATGGATTTCTTAAAAAGTACCAAAGGGGGGACCCTTTGGGTCGGCAGGGGGTCGAATCCCTGAGGGGGGGGGGGGGGGGCGTCCACCCTCCCTAAATCCGCCCCTGCTTACAGTGCATGAATTATAAGCTTAAGATTTTTATAAGTTCTCTTTTCCATCGCTTAATTCAAGACATCCGGCAAATTTTTTGAAATCTACCTTCCTGATAACAAAACTTTGCGTATGACACAAGAAATTCAAACACAGAGGCAGAGAGGAGCTTCGCACCACTTGCGATAGAACACAAACATGAAAAAGGTGAACCGAAATTTTCGTATGTCTCGATAAAATATAAAAGGAGCCAGGTAAAGCTGGAGGTTTGCGTTTGATACTTATTGAATTTAATAGTACCCGTAAAACTTGATTAGTGCGCAATAAAGACACCTCATGTTACGCATCAGCATTAAGCGAAGAGCGAAAGACTGTGCCCAATATGCGCGCAGTCTGAAAACCCTACAAGCGTGAGAAAATTTACCACCCAAAATGTTGCAGAATTCACGCACCACACGACGCACAAACTATATCTCGCTCTCTCTCTCTCTCTCTCTTTATATTTATTGGATTGTTTTCTAAATGAGAGTTTCGCGAAGATTGGAGGTTTTAAATAAACCTTTCGCGAAGGTCTGAAGCTGTAAAAATGGAGATTTTTACAAAAGATCATCCTTGTGGTGAAACAACTTGGAAAAAATGACTGCGCAGACTCCAAAGAGCTTAACAGCTCAAGGCATTGAGGCTCCCTTGACTATGTAGCTTTCGTCAAAAATCAGCGAAATTTAAGAACTCATCAAATTGCTGCTCTCTAGCCCTGACAAATTGTAAGGTATTCGACAGAGCATTTGCTTTGTGTGACAAAGAATCGACTGGTTCTTAATTGACAAAACATTTTAGCTTAACTCAATTTTTGCACCTTAAACAATTACCGGTAAGCCCTGCTGGTGTTAGTGAACGGCAAGCAACGAATAGTAGGGGTAACCAAAATAATCGCAAAGGTCAGCAGAGCCAAACTAAGAATTTGATCCGATGAGCTGATCTTTAAAAATTGAGCACCTTTGGGAAACCATGAGCACCCTCTGCGCCATCCAAAAATTACTTAAACAATGCGCAAGGTAATTGAAGTATTTAGCGTCATCAGTTTGCTCAAATATTGTTCTGCTGGATTTCGGAACCATTGGACAGTACGAAAGTGGGCTTTTACGCGAACAACGGAGTGACGGGACCAAATCTCATCCCGTTACGGCTCAGTTAGGATGTTAGAACTTAAAGTCGTGCGCATCTAACTGCTCAGTAAAAGGCCGAAGACACGGGCGAAGATTCGAAAAAACATCTTATTGCGAAGAATCGAAGAAATCCAAAAACAAATATATAATAACAAGAAACAGTCTTCACTGCTAAGAAAAAAGAATTAACAGACCAAGACAAAAAGCAAATGCGCAAAAAACTCAGAAATCTGCGTCACCGTTTTTTGACGAATTATAAGCTAACAAAACAGTAGAGCAGCTCAGTAAAAATATATCAAAAACCCGTGGAAGTAAGACCGGTTTACAAAACAGCAGCAAAAAGTAAGACATTTCTCTCAACGATACCCTAAATTTTGGTCTGGACTTGCTACAACGGCTGTTTGAAGAGTTTTTTACGCACAGAAGAGATCGAAGTGTCAGCTGACATTGACTGAATATTCCTAAAAATTGCCGTGCTAAAATAGGGAAAGCCGATTTTCCACTGTCTCTGAAAAGAACATTATGAAGAATAAAAACGAATCACGAATGCAAAAACATCTGTTTGGGGCCATAACAAATCTCTAAAGATTGACAAGTTCGCCATCAAACAACATTGTTAACTACTTGACTAAATAAGCGAAGTAAGAGATGGGGGCGAGGGTAAATCAATTTAAAAGAGGCTGGCCGATTGTCTCGAATACAAAACTTTAGCTACAAAAAATTTACTAATTCAGAGTAAATGACCAAGTTTTTTCTAACAGAAGAACATTTTGAGAATCATAAATTTTGATATTGAAACAACCAGTTCTTCTATACTTGCTCGGACCGGATTAAAAAAAAAGGTGATACCTTAGATGTTTCTGAAGAGCACCCGAAAAAATTCCCCTTAAAACTAGATATGAAAAGAAAGAGAGAGAGAGAGAGAGAGAGAGAGAGAGAGAGAGCGGAGAGAGGATAGAGAGAGAGAGAGAGAGAGAGAGAGGTAGGAGAGAGGATAGAGCGATAGAGAGAGAGAGAGAGCTTGTTTATGCAATTCATCCGACATTGGATCTAGAGTAATTTTTGGATTCAAACAAATGCAATTGTGTAAAAGGACTGATGTGTTTTGCTGGCCAAAACTAGACATGGTTTTGAGCCCGACGAAACACTCGAGCCTCTTCTTAAAATTGGTGAAATACCAAAACGCTAGCACAAGAGGGAAATATCGAGAGAGATAGAAAGAGAGAAAGCGAGTCAAATGGATAAATAGAAATAGAGAGATGGAGAGAGATTGAGCGAGAGAGAGAGAGAGAGAGAGAGGGAGAAGAGCAAGAGCGAGAGGAGATAGAATGAGAAAGAGAGAGAGAGAGAAAAGAGCGAGTGAGAGGGAGAGAGCGAGAGGAGAGAAAGTGAGTGAGAGAGAGAGAGCATAATTCTGGAAAACTTTTTTAACCAACCGCTCTAAACAAAAAAATAGTTACAATCATCTTCTCGTTATTTTGATCTCAATTGGTCAAATCAGACCTCATACCCAAAAATGTGGGTAAATTTTGGTTACGAGGTAATCCCTTATTATTGATTGAACAGACCAAGCCTTATGTACCGATTCCTCTAATTAACGGAAATAGCAACCGTAAGAGTTCAAAGTGTTATTGAAAATTCATTAAAAAAATAAAAGATTTGTAATTAAAAATGATGCAAAACAGTTGAATTATTTGGCCAAAAACTTCATCCCTTATGAAGCTATTTTATATCCAACTTGTCTAAATACCAATTACCCATAGTGGGGTATTTTTAATTTATAGACATCATAACTGAGCCGGCGCTTAACCCGCTAATTTCAAAATTTATCGTTTGATTCAAAACTCTTTTCATTGATGTTGTAAACTTGATACAATAGAACAAAAGTTTTTTATTCGAAATGTTCGCAAGTTATTATTTTAAAGACAAAAGTAATCAAAAGACGTTAGTAGTTCTATATACTTTAGTGTCTTAAGTTTGTTCCGTATAGTTTTCTCCTATAGCCTTCATCTATCCAATCAGGCAACACGGATCATTTTCATCTCGCTCCATGAAATCATTTTCCATCCATTGCCATCGCGGAATGACATTTGTACATAGTTTACTGAAGCTGACGTGGCTTTTATACCGTTCAAATTTGCAGTGTGACAGTCTCTGTGCCACCAGCCAGATGGATAAAGTATAGCACAGTTTCCGGCGTACACATCCTGGTCCCTGTCATATGTTGTGAAGGCCATTCTATTGTGACCCTCAAGTCCATGATCTGTACCAGTAGTGTTTTGCATGGTATCACTCTTTGCCACCATTCGGCCGAAAGTTAGCGTGTAAAGGGGAGCTGAGTGGATCTTGAAGTCTATTAGAGGAAGTTAATTCAATTTTGAAAATTTTAAAATAAACATACACAGAGATTTAAAAAGAAAGCTTTTGAACGTGTCAGATAAAAACTTATATGAAATAGGCAGGTACTCAATAGCATGCCTAAAAAACTTCAAAATCATTTTCCTTGTTGTAATTTTTTCTCGTCGAAACAGCTGTTTTTCTAAACAAAAATTTAAAGCGATAGCCATGTAATATGCGTCACCATGTAATTTCTCATTAGATCGAAGATGGCTGATGCAATGTTCTATACGCAGCATTATGTCTGGCAAGTAGAAATTATAACTGTTTTTCTACAGTTATAATGTAAATTTACTTAAATCATTAAATTTGATCTCAGATTTTATTTAAATATCCTCAAGGAAAGCGAATGTTACAAGTTTAGAGGATTTGAGTTTTTCTTCTCAATTACAGATGATTACCTTGAGATATATTTTTTTTTTGGAACTGACTTTTTGCGTTAACATTTAGGACACTTTAGCACATCGACTCTTTTCCAGTTCCCCCCCCCCTTAATTTTTTTCTGAAATCCATTAATTGAAAATCTATTTAAAATGACTTTTGATGTTATAGACTGCATTAAAACGTGTCAGCGTGAACAAATTTCTACAATATTTCTAACATGCAAATTGCCGTGTGAACAATTTATGAACAGTTGTGTTTTGTAATTTTACGAGGGGAGTGATAAACTGAAAAAGAGCCAGCACGTGGTGTGGATTACACTCCTCTGCAAAACAATCAAACAACTCTCTTCTATCAAAAAAAAATCTAAGAAAAATCAAAAAACAACTTCATAAACTCTCTTATATTTGATAAAACTTTGAGACTTTTATATTAATAACCGTCTATTGTACTTGGCAATGGACGAAAAAAAACAGTCAACGACTGAAAAAAAAACTGAAGTGAAAAAAAGTGAAACATTTCAAGAAGAATCTGAAATGGTTATCGTTTACTTGACTTTTTCCACGCAATTTTTCCACGTTTGACTTTTTCACGCAATTTCCGAAATAGACAAAACAAGTGATAATAACATAATTATTTTTTTTTGAAATTAGAAGCAGAGTAGAATTGTTTTGCTTGAATAAAAAAAATTGTTCGTACAATGAACACAATGATTTGCTCAAATTGGTTAAAAAGACCCGAACCAAAACGCCGGCAGCTCTCTGGAAACCTAAAAATACATAATTCAAAGCATAGAGCCAGATGAGGTACGATAATTAAAATACAATGTTGTATTTTATCTAGTTTATTGTGATATTTTAGTTTGCTCTCGATTTTTTTGAAGAATTTGTGGAGAAAAAAAAAACTAAATGTTAAAGTGTTTAGAAACTTTGATATTTTGAAGTTTTATATTTAAAAATCATATTAGTCAATACAGGTACAATTCAAATAGATGTTTAATTGACATCAGTCAGTTTTTTGGTCATAGAAAGAACAGTTTTGTATGTAGTAGTTTCGCAACTCTTTTTTTACTCACGAGGGAAATAAGTCACTATCAGAGGGCAGAAATAACCGGGGATAGTGAATGCATTTCCCGAGTGCGTGAAAAAAAACGCAAAAGATCTTTGTTAACGAAAATCGTATATGTTCAATCTTATTTTTGACTTGTTTTTCGCATGCTTAAACAGTTGCTTTCTTATTTTAAGACATGTTTTTAAACTACCTCTACCGCTCATACAAACCGCTAAACATTATCTTGTTTTGTTCATACAACAATTTTCACTTACTATCTTTTCATGAAATGCTTATGAACACATGCATGCTGAGTAACCTTACCAAACCTTTTATTCATTTTGCATATCCGTATCAGTGCTCTAAAGCCATGGTTATTTGCGGAGAGTTTTTTACCGCAAACCCTCATTCTCATGGGATATCTAAGAAAACTGATTTATAGATGCTTGTGAAAAAAAACCTAACACTCTATACATGAGAATTTGGCTTTTTTGAGGCAATGAATTGTACCAAATAAAAACGCTTTCATAATACAAAAAGGTGAAATTAAACACAAAACACTTTTTGTATTACTGAAGAACTACCTATTTTGGTTTAGTGCTTTAAGTTTCACTTTTTCCTTTTTTTTAACGCCCTGCACAAAAACTTACCATATACTAAATTTACCTAAATTCGAATGAGAAACTTTCTGGTAATGAACTCACTGGTAGAATCTGGTCGAAAAAATCCACATTTTTGTTATCTGAATTAGGTTTACAGTGGCTTTAAAAAATATATATTTTTTGCAAACTGTGTTTAATCAAACAATTTATTTATGGTCAAATTTGTTGTTTTCACACAAATTTTGAAATATTTTCACAATTGAAGCCTTTCAGGGAAATTCCAAAAAAATCTTACAGACTGTTTGGTTGCGTTACTTTCTTTCTCCAGTTTATACTCTTAATTCTTTATTTGTAAAGAATTGTTAGAATCTTTAATACCCAAAAAATTCTATATTCAGCAATTGAATTTCGAGAAGCTAATTTTGTAACATTTTTAATTTCATGTTTTTCAATTTTTCGACTTTTACTGATGAAAAACTGCAAAGCAGATTGCAAAAAATAATCCCCAATGTGACTTTCAAACAGTTTCATCTATGCGGCGGTAAATTTTTTGATCTGATGACAAAAAATGTTTTCAAATCAAATCTTGAATATCGAAATGCTTATGCTCATCTTAAACCAAAACATTGAATCTTACTCGTTTCGGAGTTTTCATTATTTGATCAGACGTTCAGGACCAGCTTTTTATATTTGTGGTAGATCGCATCCGAAATTTGATTTTTCTTGACTTAGCACCGACAACCGATGAGATTCCTCCGCGACCAGCGCGACCCAGGAAAAGATAATTGCTACCGGCTGTGTTTGATTGGAATTTCGGCAATCAAGTATTTTATGCGCGACGTTTCTCGGCCAAAATCATTTTATGAAACTTTGCGGTACCCACAAGACTCATGTAGCCCCAACCATGAACAACATTTTTGTCCCATGTTTTGCCAATCCGAGGCCTTGGTACAAGTTTTTGACCACAAACGCGACAAAAACAACTTGTCTGCAAACAATTCAATCAAATAAAATCTATCCGCAAACAGCGTATCCATAGCAAAAATGTCCAAAATGTCCATAGCAAAAATGTCGAAAAATGTGGGACTATCGCGACTCTTGTTTGTTTTTCTACAACAAACATTTAACATTATATATAAATTATTAATTTATATTTTTCCTGCCAGTGAAAAGTTTATAACAGATAAATGAGCACGATTTGTTTAATTATAAAGTTTTATTGTTTTGTTTTGAGGTTAACTTTAATTATTGCAATGAGTTTCCATTTGTTGAAACTCAAAGCTTGATCAATGTGGGGCAAGTACTTAATAACCAGAAGTTTTCTCCTCCAATTAACGCTTCTCAGGTTTTTTTTAGTTATCATTAGAACCCTCCATGGGCAACTCTTGATTAGATTTTGCGACCGTTTAACAAGAGTTTCGCAATTAACTTGCGTATAACTAAATCACTGTAAATCTTATGCTATCGCAATATTTGCAGATTTTGTCTCATAAATTAAGAACCAAACTGGGCTTGTATTTTTGGTGCTTGAAGTCACTTCAGTAGGATTTTTCAATAATCCAAAGACCTCGACCGGTGTATAGCTTATTTCTTGTGTGAATTTATCTTTTTTTCCTGTGAAAATATGTATTGTGACATTTAAACTGTACCTGTCCACTCGCTCCAAAACGTTACATAATTCGAGAAGGAGCGCATTGACAATCGAAGATGCCATTTTCCATCTTGGGTTTTTTGATGCAGTTTTTTCAATCCCAGCCACAAGTCTCCAGCACCGCAAAATTCTCCAAAACCTGTTTCATAATCCTCAAAACCACGGTAGAATGAAATGTCGAATCGTTCCCGCCGCTGGAAAACAATTTCCGCGCCCACTTTGTCAAATGCTGCGTCATTCACGCACTAAAACGTAGAACTTCGTTTTCTTTGTTCTACACTTCTCAGTACTTAAACGGAAGTGCGTGCTTGGCAATAAAAACGGACACAATGATCTAATCGTTATTTAACAAGCAAAACTTTTTGCCTGTTATTCTTGATTTTCAGATTTTCCATGATTCATTTCAGACTTTGTTAGTTTTAATGTATTTAAATCTAAATAGTTTTTCCTAATTGATTACTTTAATCGTGGTTAGAAAAATTATTCAAATTGTCAAGCAATTTTTCCAAAATGTTTCCTTTTCGTTTTACAAAGGCATAACTGGTAGCATAGCTTAGATATCCAGGTTGACCAACATTTTTTAAGTTGGAAAGGTAATCGTTTTCCAATGTATGAAAAATTTCAACGAACTTTTGTGTTTCGCTACACTTTTATTGATTGTTTTGAGCAAAGTTAATTTAGCCAGGGATTTTCTCAATATCGTTTGAAGAAAGCCACTGGTTGAGATGCGAAGATTTTTCTGTTGATGCCGATTAAATTATTCTTTTTTTTTCCTCCCATCGTGTTCGCGAAACGCATGTATTGTCGGATATGTATGAAAAGCTTACACTGACTTCACATTCTTTTTTCACTGACTTCACACTCGATTTTTCTTTGAAATACAAACTTCAAAATTTGATTTTGATTGTTTTTGTTGCAATCATTTTGAGAGTGCTTGAATCTGAAAATGCATCAGACAGATAACCGTTTCATAATTAAGAAAAAAAGAACAATTCATTGTGCTTGTTCTAGTAAGTCTGATTTTAGCCATTCTACCAGCCTAACTGAACTAGTCAGAAATTAGGCTTATTTTCTGTATATTTTTGCTTCTTTGAATAATTTAAGATTTTTCAATATTTTTTCCAATCATGTGCAAATAGTTAAAAAACTTCAAGGATCACTTTATTTTAGAAACTTTCTATAATACAAATTCAATGTTGGAGAGAAAAAAGAAAAACTTTTGATCTGCCTTCATGTCATTGTCATATAAAAGTTTTCCTTTTTTCATGGCAGAAACCCAGATATAAACAATTCTGTTTTAATGCTTGAAACTCACGAAAGCCATAAATTAAAGGAGCGCAATTTTCATTGAAATAAGGTTTTCTTAGATGAGCTAAGCACTCGTTTCCAACATAAATATTTTTTTCATCAGACCATTTTTTTCAACTGGCACGGAATTTTGTTAACAATTGCTCCAGTGAAAATTTAAAAAAATTAGATCAACTTACCGCAAATTCGTCCAAATTGGTCTCTACAGTCTCTGTTCTGCTTGAAACATTTACCCAATCATCTTTGAGGCGAGCAAAATTTGCCTATTAAAGCAAAAAGATTTTTTTTAAATTTCAGGTCAATTTTTGTCAGTGCTTGAAATCTAAAGTGGTAGTTAAATGACAGAACTTGATCTTTTATGACCAAAATTTCAAAAACAAAGCGGTATCTGCAGTTTAATTTTTTATCTGATAAACTTGCGGGTTAATGCTGACACACCAAAAAGTTTTGGGTTAATGCTGACACACCGAAAAATAAAAATTGACACACCGAATTCTCCTGCACACTAGCCTCCATTGTCTCAATTCTTTTGGAAATATTTGCCAAAGCATCTGTAAGTTCATTCATTCGACTCGCGTCAGTCTCCTGATCCTTGATCTCATTTGTTTCATTGAATGCAGACAAAGTCAGAAACATTAGAACCACAAACAGTATCTAAATATTTGAACAGAAACTGCGCACTAGAGAGCTTGATTTTAAATATTTTTGGTAGTCTTCGCCAATTATTTATGCCCTTCCGGCGAAAAAAAAAACAATACTATTACACAAGCTGTTTTTTGGTACATCAAAAATGTAGAACTTCTTAGCTAACAACCGTACCGGTCGTTTTCAAACAAGGACAATCAGTTATAAGAAATTTCTGGTATTTTTTTAAAATTGGTGCTTTTTTTGTGCGTGTGGTGGAGGAACTATACGAACGCGTAAGACGTTAATGACTTAAGGGATAGACTTAAAACAACAAAGAACTTGTAAGAATTTTCAAAGTTTTTTCTAAACATCTCTTTGAAATGTAGCGAGTTGAGTCTTCGAATTTTTAATTTTTTTGTTGCCAGGGAAGCGCTGAATCAAGCGGTTAGATTTTTTGGAGTTTAAGTATGTTGTTAACTACTTTAATGGAAGGTTTTGACCAAGTTTTGTTCAAGTAAACATCTACACGATTGGTCGATTGAACCGGTTTCTCTCGACAATGAAAAAACTTTACGAAAACTTTAAATATTGTTTCAATCTCGACTGACTGTTTTATATATCTCTAGAATCGTATCTCTAAAATCCAATGATTTTGCACCTTGAGAAACCACTCGAAGAAAAAGTTACCCCATCATTTTAATGGTCGAAACAAAATTGAAAAAACTTATCAGACGAAAGTGACTTCTGGTTTCTATTGGAAAATTAGTTAACCTTTTCACAAGCTTCCAAAAAATCTAAATAAAAATATAACGTGATCATTTGAAATGAAGCAAATTCTCGAAAACTTCACTGCAAATGGTTTTAGGAAAACTGAATTTATTATGAGTCCGTAAGACATAATTGAATCAGTTTCATCAGGTTTCATTCTCAATTCTGTTGCTTGCGAAGAAAATCTGAGAATTAAAATCATTTTTTGATTGTCTTCCTGATGTTTTGCTGAAAAATGTTAGAAAGCAATTCAAATTTGAAAAGCATCAGAGATGAGTTGCAATCTGAATTTTGACTGTTAGATAATTTCGTAAAAGTCTTTGAAAAAATTTGCGAATGAAAAATATATGTTTTTGCACTTTTTTACTGGCAATGCCTGTCTTTCAATGCCTCAAGAACCTCACATAACAAAGACAACCAAAAAAGCCTTATCACAGCTGTTTCTGCTGATTAAACTGAAATGCCTTGGATAAACCAAAACTGAACTCAATCCTCTCTACAACCAGCTTGTTATGCCCATCCTATTGTATGGTATTCAAGTATGGGGGCGCACCCCAAAATTTGCTCGACAAGATATACCGAGTCCAGAGGAGGGCTGTTGATGCAGGCGTTATTCAATCAACGACTTAGTAAGGAAAGAGGACGAAAAAATTTACCGAATTATATCGAGAGATGACAACCATATTCTTTCAAGTATAATTCCATCTCGAGTATAGCGAATCAAAATTGAGAGCGCGAAACCCAGTCGGCAATTCTCTGATGAAAGAAAAATATATGCGGCATTTTTCTGATAGGTTCTTGAGAAACTACAATTTGTAAATGTATTTGCCAATCATGTTCATTGGGATAAATCTCTGAGAGGTCTCGGAATATAAGCGCTATTAGTACGGTTCTATAACTTGGCATACAAATCACTGATATTGCTACGAACCATTTGACCAGAATGAAATTTCGAATTCTATTGATTTTCCATGAGAAACTACAATTTGAAAATGTATTTGTTAATCAGTTGTACATTACTGATTTCAATCAAGACTTATTTATTTATTTAATTTATTTGAAACTCAGCAGCAATCAGGAGCTAATTAACTCAAATTATTTATGGACAAATTAGGAGTAAAAACTGCTCCTAACGCGCCCAAGTCTCATATGAAAATAATGAGGCAATTAACAAATAATCCATTCTTGTGTTTCAATAACATATGTTTTTGCCTAACCAAACTTCAAGTTCAGTTTAGGCATCTAAACATTCATCCATACTGACTCAGTTTTAGATATAAAAGTTTTTTTTTCGTTTTGAGTTTTTTAGTTTGCGTGAATTTTTTTGGCGGTAACTATTTTTTAAGGCGTGTATTTTTATTTTTGATTATTAAAAAAGATAGTGATAACCTCGAATAAAAAAGAAAGAGGTCGAATTTCATGTTACTGAGCCTCTGCAAACTGCTTTGTTCTGAGCTTGAATTTTACTTTGTATTTTGTCGTGATCGCAAACCAATTAAGGAAGAGTTTTCCAGGCACTTCAAATGCAGCTGCTTAGATTTGATAGCTTTGAATAATTTGATTTAATTCAGCTTCGTTCTCGAAGATAAAGTTATAATGAACTCTTTTGCGACCTTTTGTAAATAAAAATTAGGCTAAGCTTGTACAAGAACTTAGATATTTTTACGAGATTTTTTAAAATCTAAATCAATCATTTCATAGAGATAACAATGCCGCTTTTTTGAACAGTTTTTTTCTCAACTTGGATTAATATTAGACAAAAAGTGAAGAGAACAAAAATTGCCACGAGTAGTGCAAGAATTATCATAGTGCAATTTTTTTTGCGAATTTTGCAACAAAAATTTTAACCAAAAATAGGCCAGCTTGGTTTTTTCTAGTTAATCAAGAATCCAGCTAAGCAATTAAAATAATTAAAAAAAAATTTTTATCCAAGAAGCTACTTACACAGTCCAAAAAAAAATTTTACCTCACAATATTTCTTGTAAAAATCTATGTAACTTTTTTTCTCCTAATTCTTTGTTCAATTTTTGAGAATTTGAAAAAAAACGCCTAGAATTTGAGAATAAACCCAATTGGAGAATAAAACGTATAAAACTTCTATTTTTTTTGTTATGTCCCGTTATTTGAGTCAGCACTCTATAATTATGATGAGATAAATCAATCAATCGCTTCGATGAATCCATTCGATTGAATGTGTGTAGTTTTGTATATCTGTTGAAGTTTATCTTCAAAAAATTTGTTTGATGTTGTCAACATATAGTCTCTATCTTCGAATTCTCATAAAACCCTTCCTCAAAAGTTCAGCTTTTCTTTTTCTTTTTGCTCAAAAAAAAAGTACTTTTGGTTTTCCTTTATGTTGTCTCCAAGCTTTTGAACGGCGTACTTACAGCAAAAGAGCAACAGTAACCACTAGTAGGATTACCAGAGCCATGAAGCATTTCAGAAGCCAGTTGTTTTGCTTTGGCTGTTTACCCTCTATTCGTTCATCTTTGAATTCTGCCGGCTGCTCGTATATCCCATCTCCTTGTTTGTTACCAGAAACTTGCTCCGTGTCACTTACGTCTGACTTCGGCTGAGTGTTTTGGAATTCCATTTTAACATCATCAGTCGATGCAATAAAAGATGCCATTTATCAAAAAATTTAATCAATGATGTCCCGTTTTTAATAAAGCAAGTTTAATTTTTGTCAAGTTACTGATTTTATTAAACACCATCTAATGTAAAAATTTGATCAAAACTCAGTGGTATTAGATATCACGTCAAATCTAAATATAAAAACATTTTTGTCTTGAGGTCTGTCTATTTTCTACTTGATTTTACTATGATTATTTGTTTTGCATTTTTTTAAAACTTTTTGTATTGTAATGAATCTGCTTACGTTTAGTTTTTGTACTCTGCTGTACTTTTTTTCAACTATTTGCTACAAAACTGGTCGAATAGGTTTCTTGACAGTCTCTTTCAAGTGCAAAAACGAAACAAGTTAAGAAAGAATGATGGCTCTTTGAAAATTTAGCTTTTGTTGAAAAATCACAAAACAAATATTTTCACCAAAATAATTTTTCTAGCATGAAATTGGCTTTAAAATAGCCTCTTTATGTCTGATTCGTCCAGAATGCAAAAAATTCTATGCACATGAGCCTGATAAAACAAAAGTAGGCAGTGGTGAGGCAGAGTTGACTTTAGCGCGTATTAAATTGTACTCCAAAACATTAGTTTTTCAATAATCAGAGAACTTTTTTGCTCAGGAGACTATTTGAAGTTAGCGCAATATTGCCTTAAATGTATATGTTTTTTTGTATATTTTAAGTTGCACCAAGCTTTTCAGCCTTTTAGTTCACTCAAAATTTTATTGGTTTGAAAATGGTGAAAAAAATAGAGATGTCACTTTTGTTGAAATACAAAGAAAGTTCTCATTTCGTTATAATAAACAAATTTTTGTTGAAATGATATTTTTAATTTTTCAAAAAAAAAATGGTTTCTAGCTAGCAGATTTTAAAATAATTTTTTTCTATAATTTTTTAAGTGGGCAAACTAATGGACAAGATTTGTCTCAAAATAATTAGACTTGAGACGAACGTTTGTTTCATTTTGAATTTCTCACTAAAATTTGTAAATTGAAAGCACAATAGCAAAAAAAAACAAATCAAAAGAAAATACCGCAGTTGAAAAAACGTAAATTTTGCTACAGATTCGGGTGAATTGATTTGTTAGGATAAAGAAAAATTTGTTATGATTTTTTTAATTTAAAGTTTTTGCTCAAAAAAGCAGATTCTAACATGCGAATAGACTTCTTATGGTGGTCTCAATTTGTTTTGCTTTTTCTTAATGTTAACCTCACTGATGCAGTTTTAATGCATTGGAGACTGATGCGGTTCCACATTTTTGAAATCCTTTTTTGCAATCTTTAGAGAATATATTTTTTCTGAGATCTCTTTTGTTGGTGAGACTGTTCGAATGGTCAGTTTTAGCACACTTTTGCCTTGTGAGTATAAGATATTTTTTTTTTGCAAAAGGGTTTTCAAGCTTTCATTTGATGCTAAAAATTAAACAGGAGTATATTGGTTTGAAAAACTGTGAAAAAAGAGACTTCTCACGTTCGTTGAAATACAAAGAGAGTTCTCACTTTCGCTAAAATAACTTACTTTTGTTGATTTGATGTTTTTGGTTTTTGAAAGAATTATTTTCTCAATCTCTCAGTTTCAACTAAGTTTTCATTTTTTAGTTTTTCAGGTCGAAGAAATTATGGGTACGAATCGACTCTTGATCAAATATTCAAATAACAAAATTGAAGGTTACATAGCAATTAGTATGTTTTAAAACTGAAAATTTGAAGAAATTTGGAAATTATCTCTTTTTTAAATACAACATTTGCAACAAAACTAGCGATTTGTTTTCTCGACGAAAAAGTATTTCATGTTGAATAATTAAAAACGATTTATGAAGTAATGATTTTTCTGTGAAAGGTCGAATTTTGTAGAAATGTCACTTCACAACTCATTTTTGCCGCAAAAAGCAGCTTTTTGCGTGCAAATTGCCTTGTTACAGTGGTCTCAACTTGATTTTTTTTCACTAATTTAAATTCATGAGAAGTATGATTTTGCAAATTTTTCAAACAAAAAAAATATTAATTGGTTATTTAAAAGTCACTATTTAAATCGTAAACTTTGTTTTAGTAACCGCAGATCAAAAGTTTTACTTCGCTTCATTTTTTTTGAAAAAAAGGGATAAACCTTATAAACAATAAAAAAAGTTCTGTTTCACTATCATCTTTTTAAAGCTATTTTTACAAAAGGTTGCTTTCACAGCTTTCCAGTCAAAGTTACAGATTTTTATTTTAACTCCCTGTCCGGTTAATGATGATGCTGATTAATACAAAGACTGAAGCAAAAGTTTATTTCATACTGGATTATTACGTCGTTCTGAAAGCCATGCATTTCTGTTTGTAAAATCTACTGTTTGCAAGGTTTAATGTTAATATAATTAAAAACCGTTCGTATGATATTAACTTTTTTTTTAAGCCAAGTTGACCATTTTTGGGGTTCAATATGCCTGTGCTGCACAAAACACATGTATAGAAGCGGACAGGTTTCAGGGATCTGAACACACAACTAATAGTTTGCGAGAAAATTTGCTGTGCTTTGAGAGACTTCAAAATCACAGGCAAGGACACTTATAAGTAACTGATAAGGACACACATTGTACTAGTCAAGTTGTGAGGCCGAATTTCCTGGTAATAGATTTGATCCTTGTTTGTAGATGTGGTAATAATATAAACAGAGTTGTCTAATCCTCGGCCATTCTTAACTTCAGTTACTGCCAGATTTTCCACGCAGGCTTACGTGCCATATATAATCGACGGCCAGGTAAGCCGAGCGATTGTTGGTGAAGAAATATACACAAAGGAAACTTCATTAGAACTTATGCTGAAGAAGACTGACCTCCTCCAGGCTATCGCAATTATTCTACAATTATTCCACAATTCCACAAACTGTTCTGGATTCCGCAAATACAAAAGTGGATTCCGCAAACTCGCCTGTTTTTGAAGCAATTTTGAGCGGTACAATGATTTAGGTATTTGTTCGTGGAATCCAAAACAGCATAGAAGATCAGAGAAAAGTAGCAATGTTGCGGATTCCGCGACAAATCGGTTGAGGTCAGACCATCTCAAGGTCAGACAGATTAGTTAAATCATAATGAAAACTGATTAAACTCAGACAAGGTCAACCAGGGATCTCAAACTAATTAATTAGTATGTAATTAATTAACTGATACTTTTGTGATGCTTAGTTTGCCATGTCATTTAAATTTACTTCTTTCAATTCATTCTTCAACAATCACTACCTCTTTTCAATCTTCAGTTCAAGCCTCAGATTATATCTCAGTCTCTAACCCCAGCTCTTAATCATGCTCTAACGCTGATTCTTAACATGTTATGGGCAACGATTTCTAACTTTTCATGTATTATTTTTCTGTCAGAGTTTTTAGCTTTTAGCTAGCAGGCTTAGGCAACGATGGACTTGAAACTGGCGGCTTTTAGTGGCAAGTCTGAAGATTTTCCTGCTTAGTCGACGAAGTTTGTGGCGCTGATGCACACCAAGGGCCTGCTGAAGATAGTGATGGGCAATGATGGTCTGATGGTCTGCCACAGGCGGAGCCTACTCTCCCAAAGAGTTCAAATGATGTGCAGCAGACAGCCTACGATACCAAGATGAAGGAGCGAGCAGTGTTGATCCAGCAGAGGAAAGACAATCGAAACACTGTGTGGTCTCACCTGGCTCTGGTGCTCAACAACACCCCTTTGATGTACATAAAGAACGACTGCGTGGGAGCAGATGGCTAGGCGATGGGACGAAGGCTTGGAAACTTCTTCAAGAAAAGTTTTGCAGTGTAGAGAGACCGATGGTGGTCAGTCTAGTAGGTCAGCTTGCGAAGCTGTGCCTAGGGTCAGAGGAGGATCTGGACGACTACTTTGTTAGCAGTCAAGAGCTGGTGACGCGGTTGAGCGAAGCTGGAGAAGCAATCACTTACAAATTGTTCAATGCTTTGGTGATCAATGGGCTGCCTGACAGCTATGAGCATTTTGTGGTGCAAGAGAGCTTTCAACCAGCAAAGACGTTTCCAGAGCTGAGAATGAGGTTGAGGAACTACGATGACTCGAGGAAGGCTCGATGTGGAGAGAGGACTGGACATTGTCATACAGCCATGCAAGCTGTGAGGAAGAAGAAAGCAGTGTCAAGTAGTGGCTGCTATGTGTGCGGTCAGAAGGGTCATATGGCGAGGGACTGCAAATCAAAATATGACAGCGGACAATCCAGTGCTCGAGGCAGTGGGTCAAACGAAGCAAGCTAGGAGCAAAGAAGCAAGGGTGTTTCACATGCGGGCAACCTGGACATTTTGCAAGGAAGTGCAAGCAGGGGAGGACAGGATTCTTCAGTTGTTGTGCTGCAACTTCAATGAAGGGAGACGACCTCATTGTGGATACGGGATGTACTGATCATGTGGTGCGCGACAGGGCTGTGTTTTCTAGCTTTGAGAGCTGGAACGAGGAGACAACTGTGGAGAAACCCAACAGCACGCTGTCAAGGATTGAGGGCAAAGGATCAATGGAAGTGGAGATAAGGGCAAACTCAAACTATTGCAAACTTCTGAAAAATTCGAACAAACAAGTTCATCCAGGGGCAGTCAAAATGTAGTGATTTTCCAATATGTAGTAATTTTCCAAAAAGTGTCCAAAAAGTCCCCCCCCCCCCCAACGTACCCCACCCCACTATACCCCTCCCCCCAACATACCACCTCAACATACCCCCTCCCCGCGACGTACCCCATCCCCCCAACAAAAACTAACATAAGTTTAACAAATTTATGAAAATTTGAAAACAACAAACAAAAATATTTAAATGAATAGATTATAATCCATTATAATCAATTAAAACGGATTATTTTTCTTTCGATAAAATTTTTGTAAAACAATCGATTATAATCGATTATCTGGGGATTTTATTGTTTAAAAATATTATCATTATAATCCATTTTCAATCGATTATAATCGATTATTTTTGTTATTTTGTAGAGACTGACAAAGAAAATCCAATA